ATAAGGGGGCAGAATACCATACAGGCTATAAAAACTGCTATGTTGATGGATGCATCCCATTCCTAATCTGTGATTCCTGAGATGGCATGCTCATACAACAAAAAGGTGCTCTGCCTTCACTGGTCATTCAACAGGTGTTCACAGCCTGTCTGCTAGATGACTGTGTATCTGGCACTGTATGGCGGGAGGGGGGAGATAGAGTTATGCAGGGAACAAGACAGACAAAAGCTCAGCACTCAAAGAGCTGCTTTCCAGCAGAGGGACAAAGGACAGATAAGATGACACCCATGAGGCTTACCAGCTATGAGACTTGTCACCAAGAACAGAAAGGAGACAACGGAGACAGAGATGGACCCAGAGGTGGAAGAGAAACTTTTGATGAAAGGGGAGACCAGAAAAGTCACTCCTTCAAAATATAGATCTGTAAAGAAAGTTAGCCATTCAAAGGGAGGGGGGGAAAGTAGTTCATCCATTCAAAGGCTGAGGAGAAGCCATCTAGAGCCAGTGCAAAGACCCAAACAGTCAGATAGTTGGCTGGGGAATTCCAGGAACATAACAGAGGCCTTCATACTGACAGGTGGTGCATCCAAGACTGATCCCAATTGCTCAAGAAGTAAGAGGCAGAGTGGAGGCGGGACATCTTGAATCCAAGTACCTCCTAAGCATGAGTGCTAGTCCAACGTCCACGAGAAATGCCACTTGCAGGTGTTATGTATATACAAACCCCTATACATTTCACCTTTCCCATGGTACAGAGAACCCACTGGGCCTATGAAGGCAGCCATACAGCTTGCTGTACTTCCTAAGGAGGGAGGGCTTCTACAAGAGGACAATGTTTTGGCAGGTTCTGACTGACCCAGGGCTAGCTAGGAAGTCGTACTGGCCTGACCTGCTAGCCTGTCTGGACTAAACAGTGTGAAACCAAACTATAGCAGCAAGCAACCTGCAGGCGCCTGTAGTCCAGGGCCTTGCTGGGAGCAGCTCAGAAGGAAACTGACACAATGCAGTGTGTCAGGTGCCGGCTCATCTGGCAGTCTCCATGTCAATGAGAATATGCTCCCTGACCAGCTCTCAGTGTGTGCTTTCATGCTACAAATATATTGGTGTGTACAAAATGGCAATGCCTCAAGATGACTCATTCCATGCTTGTGTAAGATGGGAAACAACCTAAATGTTGAATAAGAGAGGTCAAGCACACTTTAATTTCACCCATACAGTGAAATCCCATGTAGCCCAAGGCATGACTAAGGACACACTCACATTCTAAACTATGTATGTGTATATGCATGGAGTGTATATGTTTGTGTATAATGTAAATATATTACATGTACGTACATCTGCATTCAGTTACCCTTATCTGCAGGTGAGTGGGTTCAGAGTCCCCACGGGTACACAAAGGCTCACGGGTGCTCAAGTCCCTTACTTAGAAGAGCGTAGCATTTGTGTGGAACCTACATGAGTCCTCCCTGCTTTTCACCATCTCTAGACTGCCTAGAGTAGCCAATAGGATAGAAAGACAACAGGTAGTGGTCTTGCTGTATTGTTTAGGGAGTGATGACAAGAAAAACATTTGTATTTATTCAGGACAGGTACAATTTCTTTTAGTTTTCAAGGGTTTTTGATTCATGGTTGGTGAATTCACAAATGCAGAATTCACAAACGTGGAGGGCCAACGGAATATGATACACTAAAACTTCACATGATATTAAATGCATATAAGCTAACACTGTTACGATAAAAAGCACATTTCCAGTAGTATGACTGGGACTTTGCCAATCACCCAAAAGGGGACATGAAAATTCTTACATGTATATTTACCACTACAGTCAGAAAAATCTTGAATAGAAGACATTTAAAAAGTAGTGAGGTTGGTTGCCTCAGAATGGGGTACACTTACTCTATATTGTGTACATTTATAGTGTTCAAAATTTGTACCATGTAAATATATAGCCTAATCAAACTAACTGAATACAATTTGAATTTTCAACAAACACATTCAAATTGGTTCTCGAAAGTACAAAGGTTTGTAGTACTGGTAGTCTAGATGGGTACACAGGGAAAGGGGCTGAGAAGCAGAAGCCCGAGATTCAGAAGGTGCCGACAGATGACCAGTTTTGAAGGCTGCACAATTCTTAACCCAAGAATGCTATGGTGCATATATGATAATTAGAGGGCAATCAGCTCTCCAGGTTTGCAAAACAAGCATCTCTACCCAATGAACCATCTCCATGGCCCAAGCTCACAGGATTCTTGAATGCCATGCAGGGAGGGCATAAGGTTGGCCAGGCTCATCAGAGGCCAGTTCTTGTTTGTCATGCCATCAAGTTAAGGCTTTTCCTTAAAGACAATGGAGCAGTATCTATGGTTCTGCACAATAACTTGAAGCACTGTGAAGGATGAACCAGTAGGGGTGAGCCAGGACTGTCTGAAAAATTCAGAAACTGAATGAGGACCTTGATGTCTATAGTGGGAAGCAACTTGGCAAAAAGAGTACCAAAGACAAAGGTTCAGGAGATGGCATTGACACCACGTGGGGAACTCATTCCAGCAGTGGGATAGAAAGCAACACAGGACCTCCCCAGAAATCTCTGACAGAAGGAACTGTGGTAATGGAGCAGGCTTAAGAAAAAACTAGATAGGCTGGCTCCCTAGCTATATGGCCATGGGTAGTTAAGTCAGCCCTCTGAATCTGGGTAGCTTCATTTGCAAAAATCAGCCAGATGTCTACCTTAAGAGAGTTGCTTTATACACAACAATCTACCACACAGGCTGGCCACAAGACATTCTCAGTTATAGGCAGCCCTAAGTGTTGTATAAATGGTATGTGGCAGAAATATCTCTACAGCAGCTATGCCACTGAGGCAGTGTAACCGGCCTGAAAAGAATTAAGATACTCTAAAGAGACAGCCCTCACTTTGGCTATCAGACTGTTAAAACAATGGACCCTAAGAAACTGGAATTCCCCTAGGAATCTCAGGCTGGGAGAACAGAAAGCATAAAGCCTGGGTTAGCCAGAGGTAAAACTTTTCTCAAGAAAAGAGATTTGCAATTTGTCGGTCCACCTGGTAGGAGGGTGGAGCCAAAACAATGATGGGTAGATTGCAGCTGGACAGGAACTGCTCAGCCATGCATAATTCTGGCCCTTTATCTAAATCTCAGACTCACTTCAAGACCTTGAAAACTGACTTGGAGGGGTCACTGGGTCTCTCTTGTCCCTCTTCCCAAGGCTGAATAGATCTCCTATTACTAATTTGGGTGTTTTAATCGACTTATGCAGGACAGATGGTTGAACCTGGCTTGCTGAGGCACAGCATGTGACCCAAAGTCTGGTAACAGTAGGGCTTTTATGGAAGTTTCTAGAACTCAGAGGAGGATGTGTGTGATCCCACTAATCTCACTTGTCTGGTGCCCTCTCCTTATCAGGCCACGCCATGGACTGAGCCACAGGTCTATCACTCTTGATGGCTGTGGAAAAAGGACAATTCACCAGGACTCATTGGAGGGTGGCTCATTTCAAGTCCTGGTAAACGTGAATATGTGCAAACCCTCCCTCCAAAGGCATGGTCAAGGTCAGACTGATCACTGTTTGGGGTTTTCCACTTCCTGTGTTGTGTGTGTACAACCTCCTAACCATGACTGAGAAGCCAGTCAAGAGTGGCTTCGAAGGTACAAGCAAGAGGACCCTCATCGGGCTTCCAGAGAAGACGTCTAACACCTGTGAGGCCATGTTTGCATTTTCCATAAGCATAGACTACCTTGAACCACTTGCAAATGAACTTAGAAAAGAAGAAAGCTTGCAGCCTTTCATGAAAGCATGAAGTCCTGGCTATTTCCCTGTCACACAGTAAATCAGTAGCACCTCTAATGCTTCATTCTGAAGAGGTAATGAATATCGGTCTTGTCAATACTAAACAAAAACTTGTATGCATTCTTTTCTCCAGTACTGATTGCTGAAACCTAATGCCTTGTCCACGCCAGGCAGGTGTCCCACCATGGAGCAACACCCCCAGATCAGGAGCTGTTTCTTCACCCATTGAGACTCTGACATCCAAGGGTGTCAGTTAACATCTGGGAATAGCAGAGTAGAGTTGTTTTAGGTATGGAAGAGAGCTGCTGATGGGCAGACTTGCTCAAGACAATACTCTGAGCACAGCAGAGTCCCAGCCTGCTTGTAAACACAGCGTCTGGGAATATTCCAGAGGCAAAATACAGAGGTGCCATCGCACGTTTCCAAAGGAAATTGCAGCGTCTGGCCTTTTCCCACACAAAGCATCCTTGCCTCTGAAACCACAATGCCCATCTCCTAATAATATAAGGCATATTATTCCCAACTGGAGTAGAAGACTACTCCTTGAGAGACTGTGCCCAAAGGTTAAATTACAATTTCTACTAACCTCTGACACATCTGAGAATGTTCTAATAGACCCGCCCACTCTCACTTCCACCGTCATTCCTCATTCCTTGCTTGCTTCCAGAGAAGAGGTCATTCCAGCCAGCTGTCATGTCTCTAATCTCACACTAACCTCACTGACAGTGGAAACAAACGACCCAAACAGGGTGCCACAGCTGCAGACAACAGGTATACTGGGGGAACCCCCTGCCACGTGTGCCGCCCTTTATTCCAAGGTTCCTGGCCGCGCGCTCGCCTCTCCTAGACGCGCACGCACCAACACACCCGGAGCACTAGCACATACAGCTGGGGACCGAGTTTCCTGTCCCGGAACAGCAGCCCATCTTCAGATCTCTACATCTCATCCACCTGGTCCCTATACCCGGACCCCAAGCCTATTCCAGCCTCCTCACCACACACGTGTGGATGCACTTCCAGGTGGTGCCAGGGGCGAAACGTGGAGGTGGGGAAGGCCACGAACTGGGAATTGGAAAGCTGGGAGTAACATGCATGGTTTGGGAATCCCTAGGGTGTACGCTTCTGCAATTGGAGAGGGCGCGAAGAGAAGACCCAGGCTAAAGAAGAGAGGGCTGGGGGAGGGGTCGCTCACCCAGGGTTTTGACAGCGATCTGCCTGGTGAGCGGCGGCGGCAGGTTGATGCACACCAAGTCTACATCCTGGTGCAGTAGCACCTCGTCGATGCGGCTAGTATAGAAAGGGACACTCATCTCCTTGGCCAGCTCCTCGGCTTCTTCCTGCGTGCGGCCCCACAGCGCCTTCACCGCGAAGCCCTCATCTTTCAGCAGCGGGATGATGACACGGGCCGTGAGGCTGGTGCCGAACACGCCCACCCCGGGAAGCATGCATGCTCAGGTCC